CGAGTGAAATATGTGAACCAGAGAGAGGGCAGACGGATCTTATGGGGCAAGAGAGAGACTGTGGCAAGACCCATGGAATGAGGACGGCATAACAATATGGCAGACTCTGATGTACATTCCGAGCGCAAGGATGAAGGGGGGTGAGAAGGCCAGTGTGGAGTGCGGAGTGTTCTCATGGAAGCCGCTCAAAAAGGCACACCGTACCACATTTAATAAAGCAAGTAAAAAATTGTGACAGTGAAGTCGTGATAGAAGGATATAGGAAATGTCAATAGGTCAGGGCAGAAGGGAAGGTACCAAACTGTTTAGCACACGTTTGGTCAAAGGATCGGCTTCACTTGTCTCTTTCACGAGTTGTAATATGGTGCTACGACTGGTAAAACCCACTGACGATGCCGACTACGATGCCGGCAAAAAGTCTGGGAATGTACCACGTCCACGGTCCGAGTTTGGAAATGGTCATGCATACAATGGACTCCGGACAAGGTGTGTTCCTTTAAGTCTTCCGACCAATATGACCAAGTTGCGAAAACAAGGTCGAATAACTTCTATAGAACGAAAGGAGACTGCGATCACACAAAAGGCAACACCATCTTGGTCTTCATACATTCTTTCTTTATGCCTCTCATTGCCTCACCCACTCAAGCGCTCGTTGCCCGTTCGTCCCGCCCCAATATTGCAACGATGATGAATTTGCGGTCTTCAGCCGAGATCGCTTCATAAAACCTGTGGTTGAAGTGGATACGGATACGAAAATGAGGTGTCGGTGCGTTGTTCATGATCCTCATTCATTGTAGATGGTTGGTTAGACCTTGATTTTGGGGTGAATTCGATATCATCTACAATGTCTGTCAAGACTCCCTTAGAATCCACCCATTGAAAAGGTAAATTCCCAGAAATTTCGCCAGCCTTATTAGTGACCGGCGCCGTCGGCAAGCTTGTACTCTAAGATAATCTCACTTCCTAAAGATCTAACCATAATGCAAATGAAGGAATGTCTAGGCATATTTTAATTATATATGCGAATAAAATTTGGTTTTCGAATAACCCCCTGACCTAAGATTGTTGTGAAAGCTTTCATTTCGTATGCAAGTGCATGATGAAGACATTCGTAAGTTAACCTAAGCATAAGACGTCGGCTGATTCTCGTCGTACCACAGCCGTTTGGCTGTATTACTACGTCCAGGTTGATGCAGTCCACTAGACATCCT